TGGACAGAGGCAAACCGTTGCCAAACGGCGGTTGTACAGAAGACACTTTTTTTCCAGCGGCCCAAAACGGCTCCGGTCATTCACTTGTAGACTTGAACAGTTATGCCGATGTACTGTAGCCAGTTACGTCTCATCTGCCGCCGCCCATTCCGCCCACTCCCCTCTCCCCCCGAGGTCGATCTGCCATGGAGACGAGTGGCCGACTCGAGTCCCTTCTGGCGACTCTCTCTCTCTCTCGCAAACATGAAAGATGTATGGATAGCAAGAGAGAGAGAGAGAAATTCTAATCGTCTGAACTGGTGCCTTTTCGTCTGTCTTGTGTGTTTTGTGTGCTTGTATGGTACAGAACTTCCATACCATCTTTGAGCTCAGTCGCATGCGTCGCCGAATCCCACCTCTTCGCATCGCCAGACTGTTGGCTCTCGATCAGATCACGCTTGTCCTGCCGACAAGTGTTGGGTGGAACGGTTGGAGAGGTGGCATCAAGCGTCAGAAAGCCGATCGTCTGCCGAGCGGGCGCCAACCAGTAGACCCTGTCGGCTCGGCGCGGATGAATGCGACTGACGCGAAGAACAAACTGTCCAATACTCATCGCAGGGTTCATTCGTCCAGGACGACATTCTCAGGGTTGCAATTCAACTTTTATTCTCATCATCACTTGCTTTCTGGCCTTCACGACGTCCAGTTGGGCAGTCTCTGCACCGAATGTATATGCCTTCACGTCAAAGGCTTTACTATTTTATCCAAGTACAATTGAGATTGGTCAGCCAAAGCGAAATGTAATAAACCTTAAAGACAAACCTTGTTTGGCATTTTATCGTTCGCATCAGAAAAATAAACAAAATCAACGGGCTGGCTAGACTGAGAAAAAAGAGGAGATTTTCAGCAATTCGGATGGCTAACTTTTCATCAGCCTTACTCGAGCCCTCTCTGCAACATTTGAAGGTCAAATGTGGTTTAACCTCCTTTTCGCAACTTGCTCAGTTGTCAGGATGGTCTAATAGGGATGATAGCAATAATAATAATAATAATAATAATAATAATAATAATAATAACAATAATAATAATAATAATAATAACAATGATAATACCAATAATAATAATAATAATAATAATAATAATAATA